TAACCAAAATGGACTTAAAATGTGCCATTTTTATATATAAGACAGTTATAATGTTCTAGAGAGGTATGTTTTTTAATAGGAGTAATTTTTTTTAATAAATTTAACCAAGATTGGTTTCTTTGAGCATTCATAACATTATTTTTCAAAATGGAAATTAATGCAATGCAAGTATTCTTTTTGAAAAAATGAAATATAAGCAATTTGTTGAAAAATGTGAGTATGGTGAAACTGAATGTGAGTCTTGCTCAACTGGCTTGTGATCCAGTTGCTTCATTTTATTCAGTAAAAAAATCTGCCTGGATTTAAGAAAAGCAACCATATACAAACACACACACACACACACACACACACACACACACACACACACAATCCTATTATTCTAATACAGCATTCCAGTATATGATAACTTTCTGAATAAGATGATGACCACATATTTTGTTGGTGTTTAAAAAGAGTGTTAAGTGTAAACCTTACTACCATGCAGGTAGGGAATATGGCACTGAGTTTGTGTCAGTGTTTTTAAGAGAATGTCTTTAAAATAAAACTAAAAGACTTTTTTTTTTAAATAATAGCATAGAAACTAAAAGCAATACCATATACCTAGAAAGATGCCAAATACCTGGAAAAGCTTATGTAGTTTTAGAATTATTTTTAGGTGGAAAAGAAGAAGAAAAGATTATTTTTAAGTAAATAAATTAGCCAGGCTTGGTGCTATGTGCCTATAGTCCCAGCCACTCAGGAGCTGAGGCAAGAGGATCACTTGAGCCCAGGAGTTTGAGGCTGTAGTGCACTTGATCGCACCTGTGAATAGCCACTGCGCTTCAGCTTGGGCAACATAGTGAGACCTCACCTCTAAAAATACATAAATAAATCAGTGTTTAGGTTAAAAATATAGTAAAGTAGCCAAAATACTCTAAACCTCCTGAAAATAAAGCAAACAACATTTAAAGAACGTTAAAACATCACTCCTTAGAAGAGATTTGTTGATCCCTTTGGACAAGATCAAAAGTATTGCCTATTGAGTTGTATTGGAAGTTGGTTTTTTGTTTTTTAATTACAGAAAGAAAAGAAAGAGTTTGTTGGGGTTCCTTTTGCAGTAACTTGCTTTATATATAGTAGTTGCATAGTCATTATTTGTCTATGTAAATTTTGAATTTTAATGATTTGATTGGGTTTTGATTTTATTCAGAACTTTTTTCCTTTTCAGTTGATAATAAAGTACAGTTTTAAATTATTGGGTGCAATGTTTGTGTTTTGTATTATTTTTCTTTACTAAAAGCAATCTGATTATTTGGTTTCGGGGCATTTTTGTTTTGCTTTTGCTTTTGTTTTGGCAGGTCTCTGAATCTTTGCTTGTGCAGACTCCAGCTGTGCCTCCTGGCCCATGCCTCCCTCCCAGATTACAGGGTAGACCCAGAGCAAAAGAAATACAGTTACGATGGGGTAATTTCCATTTTGGTAATGAATTATAATTAAATTAGAACTAAAAGTATTCATCTTGTTAAATTGCATAAATCTTTCTACCTTTAGTACCCCCTCTGGCTGATGGTGGATCACCCATTTCCTGTTACGGTGTGGAAATGTCTCCTGCAGAAAAAGATGAACCCAGAGACGTTTACCAAGGTACTGAAGTAGAATGTACAGTGAGCAACCTTCTTCCTGGAAAGACGTACAGCTTCAGACTGCGTGCAGCTAACAAAATGGGGGTAAGACCATGCTGATTTAATTATTATCACAATAGTTTTTCATTTTAAAATGTCATCACACCCATTATGTGACCATTTGGCTTTCAACGTGTGACTCCAAATTTTATAATTTTTAATAAGCCTACATTTATAAATAAGAGAGAAGCCAGTATATTCCATAACTTAACTATTACGGAATCTCAGTATTTTCTAACTCCACTTAGAGTTTGTGATACTTTGGACTTCATCTGGGCTAAAGTTTATCCTTTA